ATTCCTCCATCATCTTAAACGACAGAGCAATAATAGTTCATAAATCTGCTTTAATGGTAGTTTCGAAAAGAAAGTCTTCAAAACTGTGACCGCCAAACTAAAATGGGTAGGCCTTATGATGTAATTAAACACCGGCCAACTTTCGAAAGTAGGAAGACCAAGATGGTGTTGTCTTTTTTGTGGTAGCAGTCTCCTTCCGTTGTATACAAGTTGTTTGACCTTGTTTTCGCAACTTGGTCATATTGGTAAGAAGATTTAGAGGAACGTACCTTGTCCTGAGTCCACTGTATGCATAATTATTTCCAAGGTTGGACCGTCGACGCGGTACATTACCACGATGGTGCTAAGAATGGAGATACTCACTGACGATGCCGGCGAAACGTCTGGGAATGTACCACGTCCACGGTCTTACTTTGGAAATGATCATGCAGACAATGGACCCCGGACTAGGTGCGTTCCAATAAGTCTTCCTACCAATGTGACCATTTTGGAAATAATTATGCATACAATGGACTCAGGACAAGGTGCGTTCCTCTAAGTCTTCCTACCAATATGAGCAAGTTGAGAAAACAAGGTCAAACAACCGCTTAACTTTGCTTAAACTAGTATTTATATCAAAATGGCAACTCCAGAATTATACACTTTCTGGGTGTATCCACCCGTTAACTATGATTTGTTTAACCCAACCACTACTATAAACTCTTTTGTCCCCAGCTTGAATATAATTGCCTGCTCTGATAATTTTTATCCTCTTATGGACGAAAGCTTGGCTCGCTTTCATTCGACGGCGTCAACGAGAATGTTCTAGCAGACTTTTTGATTTCACAAGCCCGAGCTTATGCTCGAGCTCGGGCCCAGGTCCTCTGCCGCGTCGCAGACAATGACCGGACTAGAACAGACGCTGGCGCATCCTGCCTCAAAGAGAGTCGGTGCGGTGGAAGCCAAGTGCAGTCCCAGCCAGGCCTGGACGATGGTCCCGCCCATGCAGGCTTTGTGTCCGGCTCCGGGGCTCCCCGAGGACTA